GTATTGACATGATAGCATGTGAATTAAATTATAGATGTAACTTATATAATTCTGATTGAACTAACATTGATACTAATACAATATAACATAGCCTGCCCATTGATTGGTTGCGCTTTTTATCAATTTTTCTTATAGTTTGATAGATCTCTATTGGCTTTATTGATATTATTGGTTTTACTATTGATTGAAATGAATTTTATAAATTTCTTATTACGGATAAATTATTAGATATTGAATCTTTTGTCTTACATTAAAGGCAATGATAAATTTTGGTTTCTTGTTATGCTTTGTAAGCTCATTATGCAGCTTTTATATGATTTCAAGTAAATGCAAAGAGTCTACAAGGTAAGGCTAGGTAATGTTGATAGTTTTGTTTTATTTTTTTTCTCTGATTTGATATGTATTATTTTATAGCCGATATTGATTATTGTATATATTATATATATTATTTTGAAACAAAATGTAAATATTGATAGTAGGAATATAATTATATATATATTTTTTATATGTATTTTTTGTTAGTCATATTTTGTTCTCTCATCTCTCTCTCTCTCTCTCTCTCTTCATACTTAGACAAATTTAAATCCAACACAGTTTATATTCTTGACCAAAAAATAAAGGCATTGACAAAATATTTAGGCTAGACAAAAGATTTATAAAGAATTTTAATAATAATACATCCTTATGTTATGTAGGCACCACATTTATCTTAAAATCAATAGAAAAATCTCATTTTGGCACAAAAATAAAAAATCTATCATGATATGCTGCTATAAATTATGTACAAAAATTTTAAAATTATTTAAATTTGCTCCAAAATTGAAAAGTTTCTATTAGAGTATTTTGTTTTTACTTAATAACAGATCAAATTAATAAAATTATTCATAAGAAAATAAATCAATAATACGATCAAATTAGTTCAGTTTAAAACTGAAAGATTAAAGTTTAGTTTAGGGCGACTTTCTTACTACTTTTTAAATCATTTTGTTCCTTTAAAAATTTATTGAATTAGAATTTTTTATGCTAAAAAGTTACTTTAAAAATCTACCCCAAATAAAACCAATGAGTCTATTTGAGACGACTTTCTCTTTGCTTTTCAAATAATAACCATAAATTCATTTGGTTATTATTTTCTTACTATTTTTTTTTGTTTTTTGTGGTAGAAAATAGCTTTTTGCAAGCAGAGTAAGGCTTCGTTTGAGACAGCTTTCTTATTGCTTTGAAATTATTTTTGTACTAAAAATTACTTTAGAAAGCAGTAAAAAACTGCCCCAAACAAAAAGCTAAAATTTCTTTTGAGACTACTTTCTAAAATAGTTATCAAAATTTTTAAACTAAAATTTTTTGTACTAAAAACTTGATTTTGAAAGCAATAAAAAAGTTGTCACAAATAAAACATAAGTTTCTTTCCCCACAATAATTTCACAATCAACCTTATAAATTACTACAGCCGTTTCTATTAGCATAGTTAAATAAACTGTATTAGCCTTTATTAACATTGTACCAATCTAAAGCCTACACTTGTACTTCTATTTCCTAGGATCTATTTATAGGTCTTGTATGTACATAGCTCTGATCAAGAAAGCACTTTCTTCTTCTTCCTCTGTTCTCTCCTCCGGATCACATATGGTGTTTAGTTTCTTTATGATATCAGAAGCGGTCACCTCCTGAGACCGTATCCATGACTTCCTCCGCCTCTGCCGCTGCATCCTCTCGCACGACGGCGGGCATCGGAGATGCATCTGATAAACCACTCCTATATCCCTCTCTCAAATTTATCATCTCTAATCTCAAGTCTCTAGTCCCCCATCAGTTGTCCATGGACAATTACCCAATCTGGCGGAACCAGATTTTCAAACTCTTCAAGGCGAACAGATTCGAATCATTTCTTGAATCCCCTCCATCGGTTTTCGCTGATCAAGATCACTCGAATCCTGAATCTGACGCATCAAAATGGCTTCTTACAGACAGAAATTTAGCCGCTGCGATCTCCTCCACCATTTCAGCTAACGTGATTCCTTACGTTATGCATCTCGAATCCAGTCACGAAATCGGAGCGCTCTTCAAACCAGATTTCAATCTGCCAATCGATCCAAAGTAATGCAGCTCAAGAACGAGCTCCAAAACATCTCGATGCGCAACATGTCGATGCAAGAATATCTCATGGAAATCAAGAAAACTGTTGACCTGATAATCTCTGCCGGATGTAGTCTCGACAACGAAGATATCATTCTTCATATACTCAATGGCCTACCGCCTCCTTACCAATCCTTCAAAACCGCGATACGGGCTCTACAAAAACCTATGTCTCTTGACAGTCTATACGCCATGATAGTAAGTGAAGAAATCCATCTTCGTCAAGATTCTCTACGTTTCTCCAACATGACGAAAAATCAAACTACTCTCTACGCAAACCGCGGCCCCGGTCGCCGTGGACGCGGTCGTCCACAGCAAATCAACACCTCTGGATCTAAACAGGGATCCAAATCCTCTCTGATTTGCTAAATCTGCACCAAGCGCGGACACTCTGCAGATGTCTGCTGGCACAGACACAATCAGAACTACACTACACCTTCCTCTCAGTCTACAACAAATGGGCAAGCTCTGATTGCAATAGCTGATTCACCTTATACTGAATGGTATCTTGATTCAGGTGCATCTTTACACATGACACACGGTCACGAAAATCTTGCTCAACCGTCGACCTATCAAGGCTCTGACAATGTCATGGTCGGGGATGGAAGATCCGTTCCCATAGCGCATTCTGGCACGGGAATTCTTCCAACCCCCGAGCGTAAGCTATTCTTATCCCATCTCCTGCATATACCTGCCATATCCCACAATCTAATTTCCATCTCTAAACTTGTAATCGAAAACCATATCTCTATTACTTTTGAACCTAACAGTTTTCTGTTGAAAGACTTGCAGACTAACATAATTTTGCTTCGAGGTCCCTGTAAAGACGGACTCTACCCAATTTCGATCAAGAAACTGGATGTCACTCAACTGGCACTTGCCACCAGCCAGACAAATCATCTCAACTCGCACAAACGCCTAACGGTTTTCTGTTGAAAGACTTGCAGACTAACATAATTTTGCTTCGAGGTCCCTGCAAAGATGGACTCTACCCAATTTCGATCAAGAAACTGGATGTCACTCAACTGGCACTTGCCACCAGCCAGACAAATCATCTCAACTGGCACGAACGCTTGGGGCACCCTCATCAACGAATTCTTGATCAGATTTCGCATGATCTTCCGTTCTTGCGCATAAAGCATAACAATAGTATTTGTACCTCGTGTAAAATGTGTAAATAGCCAAAGTTGGTCTTTTGTACTTATGTAACTTGTAAAAGAACTCCCTTAGCTATGCTTCATTCAGATGTTTGGGGACCTTCTCCCATTTCCTCAATTCAAGGATCTCGTTATTACTTAGACCTGTCAATTTCGGGTCACGGGTCGGGTTCGGGTCGAACCCAAAACTGACCCAGCACTATTCGGGTTCGGGTTGACCCAACCCGTTTTTTAAAACGGGGCGATTTTCTGAACCCGAACCCGACCCGCTTCGGGTTCAGGTCAACCCGACTCGACCCGTGAATACAATAACGCCTGCATCGGCTAGCAGCAGCGGAAGCCGGCGAAAGGATCCGGTGATACCGGATGCCGGCGAAAACAGCTGGTGACGCCCGACAAAAGCAGCTCTAGGCCGGCGACACAAGAAGCCGGCGAAAGCAGCCGGTGACGCCCGACGCCGGCGAAAGCAGCTCGAGGTGCTCAGCGAAGCGTGCGGGATGTAAGCTCGGGACGCGTGCGCGATGTGAGTTAGGGAGTCGAGACGAGTGCGGCGAAGCTGTTCGCCTGTCCTCGGGACGTGACTCGCCGACGCGGCTGGACAGCCAGGGCAACGGGTAGGCGGGCACGGGGCAGCGGTTCAGGCGGGTAGAGCCAGTCAGAGCTTTATTCCGGGTCATTTTCGGGTTCCCAGGTCAACCCGAACCCGACCCATGTTTTTAAATGGGTCAATTTTTCGGACTCGAACCCGACCCGCTTCTGGTTCGGGTCAACCCAAACCCAAAATTTTCGGGTGGGGTTCGGGTCGGGTTTTCGGGTCGGGTCCAATATTGACAGGTCTATTATTACTTACTTGTCGTTGATGATCACTCTCATTATATTTGGATTTTTCTTTTTACTTTTAAAACTGAAGTTACGCCTATGTTTATTAATTTCATAAACTTCATTGAGGAACAGACAGCTCGCCAAGTTCAGGTGGTGCGTACCGACGGCGGTTCTGAGTTCGTAAATCAACAATTCAGAAATTTTCTTCAGACCAAAGAGATACATCATAAACTCTCATGCCCCTACATGCCGGAACAGAACAATGTTGCAGAGCGCAAACACCGCCATATCGTCAATACAGTCAGGACGCTGCTTCACACCGCGTCCATGCCTCCCAATTACTGGCCTGATGCCGTCTTAACAGCCGCTCATCTTATAAACCGAATGCCAACGCCTACGACCAACAATGTCTCTCCAATTCGTCTCATGTTTAACACCAAACCTGATTATGCCAATCTTCGCACCTTCGGATGCGAGTGTTTCCCACTTCTTCCGAAGCACTCTAGGCATAAACTCCAACCGAAGTCTTCATCATGCTTCTTCATCGGTTACACCAGCAATTATAAAGGCTATAAGTGTCTGAACAGATAAACAAACAGGATCATCATCTCTCATCACGTTCAATTCATTGAAACATCGTTTCTCTTATCTAAAACTCCTCAACCTCATCAAATATCTCAACCAGTCTTTCCTCCCTCTTTTCTAATACCGTCTTCTACTCTACAACAGGTTACTTCAACCCAACATACCAAGGACAAAGCCTCGTCCAAGCATCTATCGAGCAGACACACCTCACCGCTCAACTCTAATACCCGTAATCCGCATATACGTTCCCCAGCGGATAATGATCATGTCTCTCCTAATAACACAGTGGCTAGGCATCCGATGATAACTCGTACCAAAACTGGCTTACTAAAACCAACATATCGCTTAAATCTGCTTCACAACAAGATCTCTCAGCAGGATCCTACCAGCTACACTGAGGCCAACAAACTACTTGAATGGCGTAATGCCATGGCAGTTGAATTCCTTGCACTTCAAAAGCAAGATACCTGGCAACTGGTACCCGCTCCTTCAAGCAAGCAAATCTTGGGGTGCAAATGGACGTTTCGAAAGAAACTTCACGCAGACGGAACTGTTGCTCGGTTCAAGGCGCGGCTGGTAGCACAAGGCAACCAACAAGAATATGGACTCGACTATGTCGAAACATTCAGTCCGGTAGCTAAACTACCTACCATTCGCGTCCTATTCACCATCGCTCTTCATCACGCCTGGAAAATTCATCAACTAGATGTGGAGAACGCCTTTCTTCACGGCGACATTCAAGAAACCGTCTACATGAAGCAGCCAAACCGATTTGAGGACCCCGTCTATCCGAACCACATATGCCTCCTACGGAAAGCGTTATATGGCCTCAAACAGGCTCCAAGGAAATGTTATACAACATTATGCAATCATCTCCTTCGACTTGGTTTCTCTCCGAGCAAGGCAGACCCATATATCCTCACATTCCATCAAGGTAACACCAAAATGTTCTTACTCGTATACGTGGATGACATACTCATCACCGGCAACGACGAAGATGCCATCTCCATGTTTCTTCATCAACTCAATCAAACATTTGCGCTAAAAAACCTTGGCCCTGCGAACCACTTCCTCGGCATACGAATTCAATATAAACAAGATAATTACTTTATGTCCCAAGAATCCTATGCTATATCTATTATCCAACAAGCCAATCTCATCAATTGCAACTCTGCAGCGAATCCCTCATGTACCAAACTACCAGCTGGCCATACAATGGAATCAGCCACGTTGTCCGATCACACGACCTATCGGAAGATCACCGGTGCGTTGCAATACCTCACCATTACTCTCCCGGATATTGCATACGCCGTCAATATGTTATCCCAGCATATGCACGCTCCACAAGAGGATCACATCTTCCTCAAGCGACTCATTCGGTACATTAAAGGAACAACGGATTTTGGACTTCCGATCATGAAATTAGGTCTCAATCTCACCAACTACTCCGACGCCGATTGGGTGAGTGATCCTATAACCCGGAAATCAACTTCGAGCTACTGCACCTTCCTTGACACTACGCTGGTGTCGTGGATAGTGAAGAAACAGACAACGATTTCCCGGTCATCAACGGAATCGGAGTACAGGGCTCTCGCCGCCTCAACTGCTGACACTATATGGCTCAAGTGACTGCTCTCCGATTTCCTTATAGATCACGACGACTCGGTTGATCTGCATTGTGACAATACCTCTGCCATCGCGTTAGAACTTAATCAGGTGTACCATGCTCGAACTAAACACATCGAGATCGATCATAGATTTCTCCGGGAACACATTAATAACAATCATCTCCGGCTTGTTCCAATCAAAACCGAAGATCATATAGCTGACATATTCACTAAGCCATTGTCGACGCCACGCTTCAAAAAGCTTAGGGACAAACTCACAATCAGCTCCGATCCGTTCGTTTGAGGGGGATATTAGCATAATAAACTGTATTAGCCTTTATTAACACTGTACCAATCTAAAGCCTATGCGTGTACTTCTATTTCCTAGGATCTATTTATAGGTCTTGTCTGTACATAGCTCTGATCAAGAAAGCACTTTCTTCTTCTTCCTCTGTTCTCTCCTCCGGATCACATTTGGTGTTTAGTTTCTTTAGTTTCAAATATATCCTTAGACTTCATTTAAGATAGTTTTCAAATTGAAACCACAGCTCACGTTTAGAAATTGTATACTAAGATACTTCATTTTATACCTAGTAGCTTTATAATCATCATTACAAGAAAAAACTTAAGCAGTCCCAAGAAAAAAAAAATAATAAAGAACGAGAGAGAGAGAGAGAGAGAGAGAGAGGCAGGGGATGGGAAGCTTACTGAACAAACAGGCCATTTCTTTTGTCAGCTGCAATCTGCGTTTGGAAGAGAAGAGGAGTACTTTCTGCAGGCCGGCAGCCGAAACCCCAACACCATTGCAGCCGTCCACAGCGGCGACATTAATTATCTTTTCGTGGGGTATATACTGTGTTGTATATGCAACCATGTAAGACAGAAGGTTATCTATTGCTTAATATATTAATGAACTTCAATAGTTTTGACAATTAATTAAGAGGTTAAGAGGTCTTGAATTCGAATTTTTCAAATATGTTATGTGCATATGAATTTATCTTAATTATTTTAAATGTAAAAAAAAAAGAGATCCACATATAATTAATAAAAAAGCAATATACTAAAATGTGTTACTCATTCTATTAGTTGATCATTATTTTTCATTAATTTAGATGTCTTTATTAAATTTTTTATCAGAATTAGCCTAAAAAAATTGTGTTATATTTTATGATAAATATAATATTAATTATTTATATATAAATCAGATTTATCTTAAAATAGATCTAACATTCTATTATTCATTATGATCAAAACTTTTATCAGAATATTATGATTTTTTTTTATATGTAGGATCCTCCCCCGCCATAACAACATTCACATGACCCAACAACTCACTCAAATCACACTGACCTAGCCGTCGAGAACCCATAAAAGGTCCAAAGAGCAGCCCAACACATCCACAAAGATTAGCCAACAAATTTTATATGTTTGCGCCCACGACGCTTACCACCACAAGTGGAAGCAAAGTCAACAACACGACTCACATTCAACCCGTACAATTCAAAAGGATAATCAACTTTCTTAACCCCCAAGTCATCCTAATTAGCCCCCTAAGGAGATAAAGGTGACTTATATTTTTTGTGTGTTATAACATTTTATGCTAAGTATGCGCCAAGTATTGCCAAAGGATCAAAGTTCAAGACTGGGTACGTAGTATATGATTGATGTTTCCAAGAGTTTGTATTTTTATCTTTTCTTGAGTCTATGTATTGTAAATGATGTTTAACAATCATACACACATACATAGGGGGAGTGAAAATAAAAGCTATAAATATTTTAATTTTTCTGCAAATCATATTATATGATATGTTGTTATTAAAATTAATTAAAATATTTTATTTAGCTGAAATAATTATTTTAAAGTATAACTAATCGTACAGTACGAACACCACATCATACTGGATGATCAGTTGTAATTAGAAACCCAACATTAATTAATTTAGGTAAAATTTTAAATTTTAATTTTGTTTTATTCGTACCATACTAAACTAATCATGTTATACGATGTTTAAAATATTTTCTAATTTAATAATGTGATTAATCAATAGAATTTGCTTGATTTTGATTTTTTTATAGTACTATATGAATTGGAATGTACTGGACGATTGATAGAGACGATTTTGGTCATCCCGAGATTCGTTCTATACGAACAATAATTTGATTGAACTAATCGTGTTGTATGACTGTTCATTTGTACAGTACGACCTAAAATGATCGTATTATACTAACAGGTAAACATACAGTACAAACTGAGCATATTTGAACTGATCGTATTGTAATAACTGTTTATCGTATAATACTAATAAGTCAAATTCATGAGATCATGTTGTATGATCTTAAGATCGTACTGTGCGAATAATAATGATTGAATTTAATAAATATGGTTTTTTTAAACCCTATATTTAAGCTTTTTTATTAGACTTTGTAAGAGGCTTTTTTTGGCATTCATTGGTTTGAGTCATTTTTAGAGAAAGCTTGAAAAGAGAGCATTTAGATTGGGAGAGAAAGTGTAAACTTTTTGAGAGAGGAAGAAGATCCTTGTGGGTTCAAGGGAGTGTGAAAGGGAGTTTAACACGGTTGCTTCGTTAAACTTGCACCTGAGTTTCTCCATGCGTCAAAATTTGTCTTGAGGGAAGGTTTGGGAAGAAGACCCCTTTGGTGTAAAAAGGCCCAGCCACTCCACAACATGGGGGAAGTTGAAAGTGATTTGGTTTTCTGCCTCACCTGGAGGGTGAAAAGGATTTCAGGTTCTCTACTTCACCTAGAGAGAAAAAGATTTTAGTTTCTCTACCTCACCACGAGGGTGAAAAGGATTACATGTTCACTGTCTCATCAATAGGGTGAAAAGGATTTTGTTTCTCTGCCATACCGTGGAAGGGAAACAATTTTTGTAAAAGCTTCTCGATCTGCCTAGCTATGAGGGCTAAAAGAGAGTCACTAAAATATTTAATACAATACCCTGAGAGGAGGACTCTAGGGGATGTAGGTCAAGATTTGACCGAACCACTATAAAATTTTTGGCGTGATCGTTTCGTTTTGTGTGTGTGTTTATATTTTAAAACTTAGCTTTAGAAAAGAAATCCTATTAGTTCTAATTAGTTATAAGTTGATTTAATGTTGAAAATTTGATTCATTAAATTTTTACTTTTTAATTTCTATATTTTAGATGTTATAAAAAATAGTATATGTTGATTCCATATATTATTATATCATACTTATTTCACATGAAAATAATTTTTAATTTTAGTCATTTTAATACATTTTTAACATCAATCATAAATAAAGCTATGGTATAACATATATGTGAAAGAAATAATGATCTTATCTATAATATGTGAAAATATAATTACGGATATATATTTTTTTAATTTAGAAAATATCTAATATATTTCCAGTTAAATTTATATTTAAATATCTTTAATTAAAAACTTGAATAAAACTATTAATATCTTATAATTAGTAATTTCAAATAATTCTCAGTCTTTTATTTCAAATAATTTGACTTTAGGAACCATCATGCATGTCCTAATGATTATAATACGTCAACAAACATACAAAATGAAATGACGTTGATCTGATTTTTTAAAAATTAAACTAATATTAAAATATTTTTAATTAAAGAGTATTGATCACAGCTCTCTTCTGAGAGTGAGAAGAGAGCCTCACTTAGGAAAAATTATTATGTCCGGACAGAATACCGAGTGTACCGAGCGCGGTACCGATGCAGTATCGAGCACGGTACCGAGCACCCAAGTGATGTGGTGTTTTGTTATTGGTCTCTGGACACGTTCGGTTTCGGAACACAGTAATTACTCCTCACTTAGGCAAATGGAGAAGCTTCATCTAGGGGTGTCAATTCGGGTCAGCGGGTCGGGTTCGGGTCGAACCCGGAACTGACCCGACACTGTTCGGGCCAACCCGAACCCAACCCGATTCGGATCTGGGTCAACCCGACCCGACACGAATGACCCGAAGTTGACCTAAAATTGCAAATTTTAAGGTCAAAATCGGGTCAATATTCGATTTACGGGTCAAAATCGGGTAAAAAACAGGTCAATCTCGGGTTTTTAGGTCAAATATGAGTTTTCGGGTTGCTGGGTCAACCCGAACCCGACCCGATTTTTAAAACGGGTTGATTTGTTCAACCCGAACCCGACCCGTTTCGGGTTCGAGTTGACCCGAACCCGGATTTTTCCGAGTCGGGTTCGGGTCATGTTTCGGATCGTGTCAAAAATTTCCAGCTCTGCCTTCATCTTAGCAGAAGCTCAGGTTGCAATATGGCAATTGCAAAATATATGATGGCCAATTTTATTTGACATATTCAAAGTCAAATGTGAAATGGAAGATTTCTCATGTTTTTGTCCTCATTATTGCCTGCTAGATTGATTGATAGTAGTATGAAATTCATGTGATAAAACATCATCATAACAAAGCCTTTTGAAATATTCATAAATTTGAATAAATACTGTTAATCTCTTATGAAATCTATTTTTTGAATTTTTTTTTTTTACTTTTTAAATTGTAAAAAATTTAAGAGCAAAAATTTCTCTAATTTGCATAAGTGTGTGAACTTTATGTGCATTTATGATAAAAATTAATGTAGGTGTAGTATAAAATTAACTCCGTCATGAATGAGTTCATGTGCTTGTATTCATGAGTGTGAATTGTGTGTGCTTGTTGAATTGAGTGAATTGCATTATGTAAATTTCTATGTATTAAAAAAAGTATCATGTTGACCTATGACTGTCGGCCAAACCCAAAACCTACATTCAGACAAAGCCATTAACCCCATAGCTCTAACTGAAACCACACAACCCAAGTAGAAAAATAGACGTATGGCGTGGAGAGGCCGGGATCAACAAACATAAAATGGAATTTTTCGGAGCCCACATATCATTCAAAGATACCTTAAAAAATAATTAAAGTCATTTTCTTAGCTTCATAAATATAGGCGCAATAAAATTATTTCGCTTGGTATTTAAATAAATCTTTCTAAAATTATTTAAATTTAATTAAATTTTA